CCGCGCAAGGAAATGTGTGACCTGTGCTCAGTCTGGTTCCAGGTTAAAGGGAAGGCTTCTTTATTGGAGGTATTCATCACCACCAAGGCAAGCCATCACTTAAAGCACTTGAGCTCTTTCTTTCTTTTTGCTCCTTGCTTTTCTCCGTTCTGGAATACTTAACTCTAAAGCCTGGCTGTTGCAGGATTAGATAAATGTCAGCGTCGTGTGGGAGCGACTTCGTGAAATCTCGAGCTGGATGGGAATTTTGGAACTGGATGTACACCGGCAGCGATTTGAAGGTAAGGTTGCATGTTTGAGTCGCGTTAGTTGTTCGGGAAGCCACATTTCGTGATCATTAGCTAAGAAAAAGAATACCGATTTCTTTTCACGATGAACAGTGAGAAGTGTCTTTTTCGATGTGTTGAGTAATAGCTGGTTGTTCTCCTCTCAGCTTTCCTCACTTTTTTCGCTACAGACTCATTTTTCTTGCTAGTGTATGGAAGGCTTCCTCTCTCTTTTTTTTGTGGACCATGCATGGAAGGTGTCCCGTAGCTGTTATAGATTCTTTGCATTGAGGGTCCTGGCATTGTTCGTGTGGGATTTCAAATTGGTTGGCTTTCGGGTTGCTTGAAAATTTTCAGAGCTGCAGTGAAAGACCAAATCTCTTTCCTTTCAGGGGAAAGTAGAAAGCAATCCCGCTGGAGATGAGCAAGCAAGTGTAGCAAGCAAGTATAGCCAAGATGATAAATTGGTAAGAATTTCGATTCAATTCCCAGCAGCAGAGATGGTGCAAGGTTTGCTTCGACGTGCACTTGGAGCGGTGAAAGACCAGGCCAGTATTGGACTAGCCAGAGTGAGCAGCAGCAGATCTCGGTATGTTCCAGCTCTGGAAATCGCAATTGTGAAAGCCACTAGCCACGACGAACTGGTGATGGTGGACGACAAGCATATCTTGGAGATAGTCTACTTGATGTCCTTCTCCAGAGGATACGCCAGCGTCTGCGTCTCTCTACTCGCTAGAAGGCTGAGCAAAACGAAGAACTGGGTGGTGGCTTTGAAGGTCCTGCTGGTAATTCACAGGTTGCTACTCCAAGACTCGTCAGTGATGGATTCGAGCTTCGACGACGAGTTAATGCTGGCTAGCAGGAGGATGCTCAGCTCCTCAAGCTTCAAGGACGAATCGAAGGATCCTCTGGCGCAGCTGTGCAGCTCCTTTGTCCGGAACTATGCTCTCTACATCGACGAGTGGCTCGACTGCTTTGTTCTGGGGGCCGCATCGCAGGATAGTTCCCTTGGCCAGGCTGCGGGGAATATAGTCGTGGACTTCAATGATTATAGAGTGGACTACACGACGTACAAGCAGGACGAGCTCGTCCAGCAGCACCAGAAGAGCCAGAGCTCGGTGTCTGAGACCGACGCAGGGATTGGAATGCTGCTCAAGCGAGTTCCTGTGCTCCAACATCTGCTCGAGCACGTCCTTGGCTGCTCGTCGGGCGTGGAAGTCCGCCATCCTCTGGTGAGGTCGGCTCTCACTTTGATCCTGCGAGACAGCTTCCGGGTCTACGCTCACGTCTGCGATGGCACAAGCACGCTGCTAAACGAGTTCTTCCTCATGGTTCACAAGGATGGTCTCAAAACTTTCGCGATTTACAGCCGGCTCGGGAAGCAGGCTGACGCTCTGGGAGAGTTGTATGAGAACTGCCGGGAGATGGGAATGTGCTCCGGATCGGAGTACCCGTCCGTCCAGAAGGTTTCTCGCGAGCATCTGGTCCTACTCGAGGACTACTTGAAGGACGCCACCCGCAGGAACACCGACCAAGTTGATACGGCGAGCAGCGACGGGAAAACAAGCGAAGAAGTTGACGAGATAGCTCCAATTGTTCTCGACGGGAAGCCGAAGCAGGACGTGGATCTGATCAGCTTGGAGCAGCAGCAGCAGCAACAGCAGCCTCTTTTCTCGACGGCTTCCGAGACCGAGAGCTCGTGGGAAACTTTTGCATCGAGCTCGGAAGAGGGTGGAACTCGAGCAAACCAGAAAAGTTCTCCAGCCAGCAGCAGCAGCCCGGGAAATCTCAAGAGTTCTCCGAAAGCTTCACCAGGAGACGATTCATCAAACGACACGGATGGAAAGTCTCTAGCAGCAACAGCAGCAGCAGCAGCAGTAGACAATCCAGCCGCGGGAAATCTCAAGACCAACAACTGTGAATCATCCGACTGGGAAGTAGCGCTCATGGACGAAGCCAAGAAGCTCTCGAGCTCTCTCTCCACGGCTTCCAGAGGGAGGAGCACGAGTTTTAGCCTGAGCGAGTGGCAGCCGGGGAACACTTCGAGGAGCTCAAGCGCTCGCGGCAGGCCGCAGCGAAGCAGGATTCCTCTTCTCTCCATGTCGGCGTTGCCCGCGCCGTTCGAGCTTGGATCACAGTCGTCGTCCTCGTTCTCCACCGCCAACGAAGATCTCTTTGGATCGAAGAAGCGATTCCAGCAGCATCAGAGGATTGGAATTGGGAGCCCCGGATCGTATGGAAAGCTCATGAACAAGCATCCACAGGGATACAAGCACTTGCTCGCTCGCTAAAGAGATAATGTTTCGAATTTGAATTTGAATTAAAATTCAAAACCATGGTACGAATCTTAGAAAGCAGCTGATCAAATATGATGATATCTCTTTGTTCTCCTCTTTTCTCTTCTTGATTCATGCTTTGCATGATGTTAAGTGATATCTTCTTGCTTGCCCTTTGTTAGATCTTTCACCAACTTTTTTGGATTGTATTGTCTTCATTAAAAAACGGTAGATTGTTAAAGAAATTTAAAAATTTTGTTAATTTGATTTCCATATACAAGTTTGCAAGATAGTATCAGAAACAACAAAATATCCTGCATTTTCAACACAAAGTGCATATGTAACCCATTCATTCTGTGAAGAAAAGTATTTTGACCAAATAAGTTTGTTGTTTAAATCATAAATTGCAAGGTTACCATCTTTTTTTAAATAAAGAGTACATCCATTACCCATGTTATTGGTTTTTGTATCCCAAATTACATATAACCCTTTATATAGTACTAAATTACAATCATATTGCATATACAAAATATATTGGCGATTTGGAGACTGAAGAAAATTTCCGTTTTTTATATGTGAAAAACTTGAGAAAATTGGTCCACTTCTTATGCAAACTATATAAATATTACAATCTCTAAAATTCATAGTGAGTGAATTAATAGTTTTATTAGTGGTATATAATTCATCATTATCTACTATATAAGATATTAAATATCTCTCAGATATATATTCTGCTAAACCATATGTAACTAAATCATTCATAACATAATTTTTAAAAATATAATAAAATTGATTTTGTAAATAATCTCCTTTGAAAATCTTTGATAAATTAACAATTATAGTGCAAGCTATTATACTATCTATATATTGAGTTTGTATATCTAAAGCACTTATAGTCACAATTAAAGTTTTATCTTTCTCAAATTTTACATGTGATAGTGAAAATCCAACAAATAAATCTTCCTTTTTATCAACATTTTTTATAAGATCAAATATTAAAGGTAAAATAGTTGTTTGCCTATATTTAATAGAAATAGCTTGTGGATGATCATAATACTTAGTTATACAATTAGAACATACAATTAATAGAAATAGTAAACTAAAAAATAAAACCATAACCATAAATTATTTTTGTAATTTTGACTACATAGTAGTTTTTAAATCCAATTTTGAAAATAAAATATAGAACCTTTAACATAGAGAAAATAAAATAAGAAAAAAATCATATAAAATATCAAGAATTTTGTATTTAATGTAAGGAATTTAAACTCCCGGTTAAAAGTTAAACATAGTTAAACAAGCTTAAAATTCCTTGTTAAAGGAAATTCCATTAGCTAAAATATACTTGAACGTTTTTGACGATAATCTGAGCCGTCAGTGTGAGCATCAGGGTTTTGTTTCCCGCCATTTCTTCTCTTGCTCCCGTCTAGGTCGCGCGAGGCGGGCGGATTTCGTGGTGTTCTGCGATGTCGCTCAATCCGGTAGGTAATCTTTGTGAAGGATGTAGATCGAAAAAATGTAGATCAGGATTGTGTGATCGCGTTGCTCAAGAACCCTAGCTTGCAGAATGGCAGCGGCGAGAATGCGCTCTCGCCTCCATCGACGGAGGATCGCTTGCCGAGAGGCGGGGAGAATTCCATGTCGGAGGCGGAGGTTGACCCTCATGTGGTGGACATGGGCAACGACGAGGAGGAGGAAGAGGTCGGGGAGGATCTCTACACAGAGGATTTCATGCAAAGGTAGAGTGGGTTTTCTATCTCGATACTGTTTGAGTGACACGCTTGTTGACGCTTGCAGGGACTATCAGCCAAACGAAGAAATGGATCGATATGACTCCGCTGATTTAGACGATGAGCCGCTTGATGAGAGGTCGTTTGATCAGATAATGGCCGACCGCCGTGCTGCTGAAGCGGCGCTAGATGATCGAGACGAAGTTGGGAGTTTTAACAGTCCTGTGAATAGGCGGACTAGAAACAGGAAGCTACCAGCATTTCTCGATGAACACGGTAAAATGTAGAGTTCTTGGAGCGAAAAGAAACTCATGCTGTGCCTTCTTTCCAGATGAATCCGAGGACTCCAGACCACGGCAGCGGGCCAGAGTCGACGAACCGGGAAATCAAATGCCGGACGATGAAACGGAGGTATGCTTTTAAGTTGCTTCACGCTTAGCTAAAGCGAAACTAAGCAGGAGGAAGACGAAGACGATGGAGCGGATATGTATAACATTGTCGGAAATTTGCGGACGTGGGTGTCCAGAGACGACGTCAGAAGGTTCATTGCAAGAAAATTCCGGCAGTTTCTTTTGACATACGTGAACCCCAAGAATCAAGGAGGGCAGCCTGAGTATGTGCGATTGATCAACGATATGGTTTCAGGTGAGATTGAGTCTGACGTAAACGGTTTCTGACATTCTGATTGTCTACGCAGCAAATAAGTGCAGCTTGGAAATAGACTACACGGAATATTTGCATGCCTACACAAATCTTGCTATATGGCTAGCCGATGCTCCCGAATCCATTCTCGAAGTGATGGAGGAAGTCTTGCAAAACGTCGTTTTGAAGCTGTACCCGAACTATGGAAAAATTCACGAAAGAGTACACGTACGGGTGACTAATCTTCCAGTCTTTGACCAGATAAGAGATATAAGGCATGTTTTCTGCTTCGGCATTTTCAAGTTCTTATATTTTGCTCGTACTTGCAGGAAAACACACTTAAATTGCCTGATTAGAATTGGCGGAGTTGTGACCCGGCGGTCTGGAGTTTTTCCTCAGCTCATGCAAGTGAAGTATGATTGCAACAAATGCGGTGCAACACTCGGGCCCTTTTTCCAGAATACATCCAAAGAGATCAAGGTTGGATCTTGTCCGGAATGCCAATCACGAGGTCCATTTTCCGTGAATGTGGAAGAGGTACTCGATTTCATATTTTATGTACTTACTTTAATCTCTGAGATGTGCAGACAATTTACCGGAACTATCAAAAACTAACACTACAAGAAAGCCCTGGAATTGTTCCTGCAGGCAGGCTTCCTCGCTATAAGGAAGTCATACTGCTTGACGATCTTATCGATTGTGCACGGCCAGGAGAAGAGATTGTAAGGATCTGCCTTTTTGCTGTTATGCTTACCGTGACTCTCTCGAACAGGAAATTACGGGCATCTACACCAATAATTTCGACTTGGCGCTGAACACCAAAAATGGTTTTCCTGTGTTCGCTACTGTTGTCGAGGCCAATCACGTCAGCAAGAAACAAGATCTTTTCTCTGCATACAAGTTGACTGAAGAGGATAAACTAGAGATTGAAAAGCTGGCCAAAGATCCACGAATAGGAGAACGGGTAAGATCATCTATGTGTATTCTGTTGTTTACATGATCTATGCTTTCAGATTATCAAATCGATTGCTCCATCGATTTACGGTCATGAGAACATAAAGACTGCTATAGCTCTTGCCATGTTTGGGGGGCAGGAGAAAAACGTACAAGGCAAACATCGCTTGAGGGGGGACATTAATATTCTCTTGCTTGGCGATCCTGGAACAGCAAAATCTCAGTTTCTCAAGTAAGTACTGTTGATTTTGTTTAGTGATTTTATGCATGAGCCGTGCAGATACGTCGAGAAAACTGCACAACGAGCGGTATATACCACAGGAAAAGGCGCCTCAGCTGTTGGATTAACAGCGGCTGTCCATAAGGACCCTGTAACTCGCGAGTGGACATTAGAAGGCGGCGCCTTGGTCTTGGCCGATCGTGGAATCTGCCTCATTGATGAGTTTGACAAAATGAATGACCAAGACAGGTATTTTAAACGCAGGGCTTACATTGTCTTACTCGGGAGTATTTTTTCAGGGTAAGTATACATGAAGCCATGGAGCAGCAAAGTATCAGCATCTCAAAAGCTGGTATAGTAACATCATTGCAAGCTCGTTGCTCTGTGATCGCTGCCGCAAACCCTGTAGGCGGCCGGTAAGCACAATGTTTGATGTGATTTTAACGCTTGATGAACCTCCTCGTGACAGATACGATTCTGGAAAGACATTCGCTTTGAATGTTGAGCTAACCGATCCTATACTTTCTAGGTTCGACATTCTCCTTGTTGTCAAGGTAACCTCTGCATTAGCTATTTTACATACTTTAGATCCAATTGTGATCTTCTAGGACACTGTCGATCCTGTCATAGATGAAATGCTGGCAAGATTTGTCGTTGACAGTCATTTCAAGTCTCATCCAAACATTGCGAAGGATCAAACTCCTGAAACTGCTGCGAATACGGACCCAGAGGTTGGTATTCAGTTGAACATCTCCCGTTTATATAAGCTTTTGTGTGTCAGATATTATCTCAAGATATGTTAAGAAAGTACATCACGTATGCAAAGCTTTATGTTTTCCCAAAGCTGCACGACGCTGATTTGGACAAGGTTGCTCTTGTCTATGCCGATCTACGTCGGGAGTCCATGGTATACTAGTTTTCAGTTTTGATGAAGCTCATAGATCTGGCTTGTAGTTTGGGCAAGGAGTACCAATCGCAGTGCGGCATATCGAGTCTATGATCAGAATCGCGGAAGCGCATGCTCGTATGCATTTGCGTCAATATGTCCTTGAAGATGATGTGGATATGGCAATTCGGGTGCTGCTTGATTCTTTCATTGCAACACAGAAATACGGTGTCCAAAAGGCTCTGCAGAAGGTAAGTCCCTTTTTTTTATTCTCTATTTTTTAAACTATATTTCCAAGCGAGTTCTAAAGGATAAATTTTTTTTTTCAGAGCTTTAAAAAATATATGACTTACAAGAGGGACTTCAACGAACTGCTTCTTCACCTTTTGCGTGGTTTGGTCAAGGATGCTCTTCGTTTTGAGGAATTGATGACTATGCCTGGCCCTCGACTTTCAGTAGTTCACGTCAAAATCACAGATCTTGAAGCGAAGGCAAGCCATAGCTTCTTCATTTGAAATTGTTACTCATGTTTCATGTATCTTTACAGGCTCGTGAGTACAATATACTCGATCTGCAGCCCTTTTTCAACAGTAGACAATTTCTGGGTGCCAACTTCACGTTGGATGTTGGAGCTGGAGTGGTAAAGCATCCAGTCGCATGAACAGCGAACTGTGAGAACTTTGTTTCTTAACCCTGTTTGTATTTATATCAGTCCAATTTAAATGCTTCCTAATATGGTTTGTGGGAGTTTCTATTTAATGTGATACCATAGTGAGATTTTTTTTATTATTATGGCTTATACATGCTTATAGCTACTTGTGTTGCTGCCACCGAAAGTCCGGTAAGTGTTTATATTTCTTCGTGTTCATATTTCTTCGAATCTCATGTAAGATTGACTTCAGGAGAGCTCGATATATATCGTTCATTTGCGAAACACCGATCAAAATCTTCATCCAGATGCTATTACCGAATACCATCACGGAATATTGGCAAGGTAAAACTATTTTTATAGCGATATATGTTGAACTCTGATTTACTTCCTGCAGCCATGATATTGCAAGAGAATCCATGGTTTACAGCTACGGATGTGGCAAGGATGCACTGATGGTCGACTCAGCCAATCATGCACTTCGGAGTCGATTCCAAGTGCTGGTCAGAGGTGGAGGCACCAGACTAAGTTCAAGAGCTTGCTTGGTTCTTTCGTTATTTTTTCTCCCTACTAGAACTTTTGGTTTCCAGCCAAAGACTGAGCCTTCAACCACGGTGAGGTACATGCTTTAAATGGATTTGCTGCACGTTTCACCAAGGAACAAGCTGCTAGAATATCACGTACGTAAACTCTTCTGTTCTATTTTATATTTCCTTCTTACTATAAGGCTTTTGGTTTGAGCAGAACACCACGATGTACAATCGGTTTTTCCTAGCAGGCGCGTGGAAACTTACACAACAAGGTCCTGGGACTACATGAGCATGGGAAACTCACAAGACTCTCTATTTGGTACAAAACGCCCCCCGCTGCGGAGTGAAACCAAACAAGGAGAGGATGTTATCATCGGACTTGTGGACACTGGTATATGGCCGGAAGCACAGAACTTCCATGACGACGGGATGAGCGCAGTTCCTAAGAGGTGGAAAGGAATTTGCCAAGAGGGAGAAGCATTCAATTCTTCCCATTGCAACAGGTAACTTCGATTTTCTTTTTCTTTTTCTTTTTCTTTTCACCGCGTCTAATGTGTTGTGTTCAGGAAACTGATTGGAGCAAGATATTTCTACCAAAGTTATCTACATTCGAAGGGCGCGGCAAATGTTTCTCAATTCGCACCTCAAATACGACTTTACATTTCAGCCAGAGATGACGTGGGTCATGGAACACACACGTCCTCCATTGCCGCTGGAAGATACGTTCCAAACGCCAGCCTCTTTGGTCTGGCAAATGGAACTGCAGTAGGGGGAGCTCCAAAAGCCAGGCTCGCCATGTACGAAGTGCTTTGGGGCGGCAGCGGCGACGACGCGGATGTAACTGCTGGTATCGACGCTGCGGTCGAGGATGGAGTGGACATTATCTCCATGTCTTTGGGAGGCCGCGCCGTGCTTTCTTTCAAGTACGTCGGGTCTTTCATTGCGGCGCTCGGTGCCGTCGAGAAGGGTGTTGTGGTGGTAACAGCCGCTGGAAACGACGGTCCAGACACTTTCTCAGTTTCCAACTCACCTCCATGGATGATCACTGTTGGTGCTAGCGCCGATGACCGGACGTTCAAGAACAATGTCACTCTGGGGAATGGAGTGAGCTTTAAAGTAAGCCAACTTTCTGCTCAAAGCTCAAACAACTTCATAACTCTTTCTACTTTCAGGGGTTAAGCTTGACGCTCAATGGCACCAAGGACTTCTTGCCTCTTGTATCTGGAGACGCCGCTGGATCGAGTATTTGTCGTTTAGGGGCTCTAGATCCCGTCAAAGTGAGGAACAATGTGGTGGTTTGTGAATACGATTATAGATATACTCCGGATCCCACTGCGGCAAGCGAAGCAGTTTTACATGCCGGAGGAGCTGGTGTTATATATTTCTACCAAGACGAAAAGGCGACAGTAGATGGTCACCTCTGCGTCCTACCTTGTTCTTCCATTTCTGCAACTGATGCACAGAGAGTCCTCTCTTATATTTCATCTACAAGGTAACAGAAAGGCTTCTCTCCTTTCTCACATCGAACAATCTCTCTTTCCAGCAATCCGGTTGTGAATATAAGTCCAGTGGAAACAACTCTGGCCACGTCGAAGGTTCCAGTCGTGGCTACGTTCTCGGGCCGGGGTCCCGGTGCCGACCCGAACGTCGTCAAGGTATAGCTCAAACTCGATGCAAACGTTTCTATACTGAAAATCCTTTCGTGTTTCACAGCCTGATATCGTGGCACCTGGTGTCGATATCTTGGCAGCATATTCTCCAGTTCTCCCAGTTGAACCAGGCGATAAGCTCGATCGACGTCGCACCAGTCACGTAATTTTTTCAGGAACCTCTATGGCCTGTCCTCACATTGCAGGCATTGTTGCGTTGCTCAAATCGCACCATCCGGACTGGAGTCCAGCAGCGATCCTATCAGCTATAGTCACGACAGGTGATAGTAACAACAATCTCTACAGCTTTTCTCAACTTTCAACTATTTTACAGGTTACAAGGATGGGATGGTTGGAAACCCCTTCGACTTTGGAGGCGGCCATGTCAATCCAAACGCTGCACTTCATCCCGGCGTGCAAATCCGGTGCGACGCGTTTGAGCTTTACGGCCTCCCGGCTGTGGAAACTACAGCGATGTGCCGCTCAACGTCAACTATCCCTCCATAGCTCGGCTTGATCTCGCGAACAAAACGACCATCACCAGGAACGTTACCAATGTGGAGGAGGAGGGATCAGTGTACCGCGTGACCGTGATCAGCCCCCCGGGTTATAGCATCCAGGTAGAGCCCCAGGTTCTACGCTTCGATCGCAAGGGAGAGACGAAAACGTTCCGAGTCACGATGGAGGCAACGAGCGAGGCTGGGGATAATCTCTTTGAAGAGGCATTTGGGTCGATAACTTGGAGTGATGGGCTTCATGACGTAACGAGTCCTGTGGCTCTTGTAAGGTTCGCCAACATTCCTCTAGACTATGATCGAGAACCCAGTCCTCCTGCGAGAGCTAATCCTACGAATAGTTTTTCTACGTGTCCTCCCACTGCGGCTATATCTTCAAGGTCAGAGTTTATAGCGCGAATTCAAATAACTGGTACTAATCTTTCTTTGTTTTTCCAGCTCCAACGCTTATATGTCTTCTTTATCGTTATATGTTTTCTCTACAGTGCTTTTGTGGCTCATAGCTGCGTAGTTATATCTATTAATTCTTGTAATTTGGTTAAATAGATATTTCATTTTTTTACATTTTTTCTACCAGTTGCTAGCCCACCAGCGTTGGCAGATACTTTGCAAAGCCGACAAACTTATCAACCAAGTCACTAGACTTTGATGCCTATCAAACTCTATCAGCCCTGAATATAACCAGCGAGCTCTAAAGCTGTTGCAATAAGGCAGGGAGTCCTACTAGATAGTAACATTTTTTAAGAATGAGCATAAGCATTGTGCAGAAGGTTATATGGGGCAGCCACCTCTGGTTCCAGCTCAAATATAAACCGGGCAACTCTCTCAGCTCTCACAACGTCCCCATTGATCCGACAGGCTGCAAGCAAACTCGTCCATGCCACTGCATCAGGCAAAAAAGGCATATTCAACACAAGCTCTTCCGCCTCTCCCAGCTTCTTGGCTCGTCCAAGAATGTCCACCAAACAGTAATAATGCTCGATCCTTGCAGCTACAAAGTGATCTTCAATCATCGCTGCAAAGTAGTGACGGGCTTCGTCTATCATCCCCGAATGGCTGCAGCCGTGGAACAGCCCAACAAAGCTGCTCTCGTTGGGAATCATGCCTTCCAAGCTCATCTCTTTGAACATAAAGTTCGATTCTCCAAGATTCCCATTCCGGGCATAGGCCGCAACCATAGTGTTCCAAGCAATCACATCCTTAAACTCCATGGCATCAAAAGTTTCGCGGCTTTCTACCACATTCCCTGCTTGCGAATATGCAGCAATCAAGGCCGACCAGGAAAGAGTGCTAAAACTTGGGATTCTCTCAAAGACCATCTTTGACTCATTGAGATGCCCATTTTGGGCATAGCACACGAGCACCGTGTTCCACGACGTCACGTCCCTGTGGATCATCCTCTCAAAAGTCTCTCGTGTCTCGTTAAGGTGGCCTCTCGCAGCGAATGTCTGGAGAACCGCATTGCACGATCCAACGTCGAACTGGAGCATTCCCTCAAACATGTTTCGTGCTTCTTCCAGGCAGCCGTTTTGGGCATAGCCCGTGATCACCGCGTTCCACGAGATGGAGTCCCACTGTGGAAGCCTGTCAAACGTTGCCTTGGAAGCATCCATGTCGCCACCTCGAGCAAAAGCCCGGATCAAACACGTCCACAGGACGATGTCTCGCTTTCCCGTGACCGATCGAAAAAGGTTTCTGGCGTTGTCGGGATCTCCACATTCGGACTCCACGAGCATCATGGAGCTGAAAGAGAGAATGTCTCTCTCGGGCATTGCTTGGAAGAAGTCTCTGGTTTTCTCAATATGCCCGGCTTGGGCATATACCGCTAGAGCCGCATTGAGCGATATCATGTCCCAGTATGCCATCCTCGAGAGAGTGGCTTCCACTCCAGCGAGATCTCTGGCGTTCGCGAAAGCATCGAGCATGGAGTTCCATGCAACTATGTCTTTGAGTGGCATCTCTTGGAATACGCTCTCGGCTCCAAGAACATCACCCTCGATCGAGAGAGCTCCCAGGAGAGACGTCCATGAGACGCAGTTCCTGCTGGGCATGAGATCAAAAGCGGCTCTTGCATCGTCAATCGCCCTGGCATGGCCGAAGGCAGCCACCATTGCAGACCACACAACGATGTTCTTCTCGGGGATTGCATCAAACGTTGCCTTGGCTTCGTCAAGGAGATTGGAACGAGCGTAGGCTTGAATCATACAGACCCAAGAGGTGGTGTCTTTGTCTTGCTGCTCGTCAAACAAGTTTCTCGCTTGATCGACATACCCGGCCTGGGCATATGCTTGGGTCAAGGCATTCCAAGAGGCTACGTCGTAAAAGGGCATCTCAACAAGCAATGCTTTAGCCTTTTCCAGATTGCCTATTTGTCCATACTCCACTGCCAAGACTGTGACAGACACTACATCATGTAGCGGCATTAGACTCAATACTTGGCTCGCAGATTGCAAATCACCTCTCTTGCCATGTGCTCTGATCAGGGTTGTCCACGAGATTGCATCTTTCTCAGGCATGAAATCGTAAAAATTTCCAACATGTGGGGTATCTTGAACTGCTAGCATTGTGTTGCAAGATACTAAGTTCCACTGAGGAAGCTTGGTAAAAACCTCTCTGGTTTGCTCCAAAAAATGCCCAGTTTGGGCATATGCTGTAAGGAGGGCAGTCCAGGACACCACATTCTTCTCCGGCATCGCATCGAATGCTCTCTTAGACCCGTGCAAGTTACCAGTTCGGGAATATGTGCTGAGGATGATATTCCACGAGAAAAGATTCGGGTGGTGGATGGAGTCGAAGACAGCTTTTGCATCTTGCAGGCTCCCGCATTTGCCATACATGTCAACAAGCAAGTTGAGAAGGTATCTGTCATGCCTGTGCTCAGAGGCAAGGATTTGTGCGTGCGTGGCTTTTGCTTTGGACAAGTCCCGTGATTCACCGCACCGCCTCACTAAAAGACTTAAGGAGCTGAGAGTCTCTCTTGCAATGGAAATGGTCGATAGAAGTCTCCTAAAGAGCATAAGCTGAGGTTTTAGTGCACTTTAAGGTTTGAGTTAGTTCTTTTCTCTGTTTCTCTGTGTCCCGCACGACAATGTGCGGTTTTTCAGAGTGAAAGATATGAATATCAAACTCTTTTGCTAATATGGATACATACTCAGAGGCCTCTGCAAAGGCCTCTGGAAGTGCACTTTATTCCGCTTTATGGAAACTAGGGGAGCTCTACTACATCTTGTTCACATTTTGCTTTTCTTAAACGAATATCATCACCTCTATCAGACAAGGAGGAATTCCATGACAGAAGTTCCTTCACTTCTTCCGTTCCAGGTAACAATAACATGTGACTTTCCTGTTTGGTACATACATAAAGCCCAATGCACTTTGATCTTCTGCTTGCTCTTACGGCATCGAGGAGATCGGCTTCGTTGGTTGGGAAGAACGCCTTGGTGAAACTTCTGAGGAATACAGTGGCACCATGTGTCACAAGTTTCACAATATACAGGGACATTAAAACATTCCAAACATTTTAGTTTTGCAGTGACAATGTTCTCCACAGCTGTCCTCCACAACCAAGTATGAGATATTGTTGGATTCAGTGATCCACCAAAAAAATGGCCAGTCGCAAAAGATACCAAGGTTACTTTAGTAGAGCTTCACAATCTCAACATGGCAGGGTTTGTGCTGGAAGCTTCAAATGGATGATATCCTGCAACACAGCCGCAGATGCCAATGGAACCCATTCCAGTAAAGGAAGAGTCTGTAAATGTGTCTGCCCAGCATGGAAATTTGACACCATTGGCCCAGGAACATTTTTTGAGACTGATCATTATGAAGAAGCACCCCTTTCTCTAACGAACCACAACTCTGTGGTTAAAGCAATGGTTTGTATAAGTTCAATTTATTTTTTACATATTATTAAAGAAATATTCTATAAATATTCTCTGATGTGGCTTCCCTGCAGCCGGTCCACCGGGCTGCACGCTCCATCATAAGCAAGTGTAAGATTTCTAGTAGGGACTGCCAAGAATTATAAAAACAGCGCAGCTCCTTATACTTTGATGCTCAAGGAATTAAAAACCTGTAATAATATATACTTTTAGCCTCACACTAATCCAGTCTGATTTCTGAAAGCATTGTGGTGGGATGCGGAGGAAAAAGGACTGATATATAATTGATAAAAACTTGGAAAATGTACACCAGCTTTGCAAGGAACCTTCTAAAGCATTCAAGCCTATACTGTTAACAGACATAGAAGTCTGGGTAACATACCTGAGGCGCCAAACAGACTGGGGAACCAACTGCTCCTAAATTGCAGTCCATGCATCCGGGAGGAGGACATTGCCAATGCAATCAGATAGCTACACTGTTGCAAAGCAACTGATGTGCACGGTGGAGCTACTCCAGGTTTGTGATATAAACTTCCTTGTGAGGATACTCTGGCCAATCTTTGATATTGCTGAAGTTTCCAGAGCAATAGACGTTAATCGCTTGGCTCCCATCTACAAAATCGGTGACCCAATGCTAATGTATCAAACTATCATGGTTAGTTTGGTATTTCGAAAATCTTTACCCAAGTTCTTCAGAGACCACTTGTTGACTAGAGTTAGAGGAATACAAAAAGGGCCCTTGGACAAGCTCACTTTTGCCCTTGTTACAGTTGTGCTGATCATCTGATCAAATTTCCAAACATTACACAAGGATTGTACATTAGTGCCTTAGGACACTCGTCCACAAAAGTCAACTATCAGACATTCAGATGGCAGGGCAAAAACCTGAGAGGCAAGTGAAAAAGTGTCGAGACTATTAGTGAAACACAGTGACAGTGTGTGAAAAAGAGTGAATCAGGCCAGAGTCCGAGAGTGACCGAGACTGTGACACTAAGTGGACGAGACAGGGACATTCATTGTTTGAGACTCTGACACTTACAAAAGCAACCACATCAGAGCCAAGTCAGAGTGAAGTTAGTACCACGCTAGGACCTCATTTTTGCCACGTCGTTGATAGTTTTTTGGGTTTAGGGTTTGGACCATGACCTTTGATTCGCGCGGTTTGGGAGTCAGCGGCTAGGTGCAGTGTAGGATGGTCGCATGTTGGAGTGTATTCCTGCAGTGCAAGTGCATTGTGAGCTCCATTGCAGCAGCATTGGACTGGTAAGTTTTTTTGGCCTTCCTCCATGACTTCTAACAGTGAGTGTAGTGGAATCTAGTAAGGGAAGGAGCACATGTGTCGAGGTGCAGCAAGTCCCTTTTACTCAAAAACAACTTTGGGTAAAAGCCATGAAGGTTTGAGCTGCTGCATTGTGTCCCCCTAAAAAGTCAACGACCAGGAAGTCTTGTGTGGTTTGAACCCCATCCATGGTGACCAAGACTTTGCAAAGAAGACCTATTAGTGGCACTTGATGCTAGGCAAAAGTCTTGAGGAGCACTGATGTTGGCATGACTACAGGCAAGCCAAACTCTTGATAGATATATGCTAAGATGATGTTGATTTCAAATCAAGAGTTGATGATCACATTTTGGATAATGTGGAGTCCAATTTTATCCATGTAAAAGAATGCTCCAAGATCAATCTCCCCCATTTCATCTATAATATGCACATTTGCATGCTAGAGCTCTTGCCAAACATGAGGTAGTTGATTGGCAATACCTACAAATCCAACATATGTGGAACCAGCTAGAGAAGCTATAAGATATCAAGGTTTGGTTGCATCAGTTTCAATGAGTGAGTATGGTTAGTGTTGTTGCAAAGCACAAAACAACCCAATTTATGGAATATATAAATCTTTAGCACTGACAGTCATTAAGAGAGGCTGCTACTTAGGTTCTACAGTCATCTCCAAAGGTACAACAATGTGATAAATTTACCTTTTGTACCCATCTTGTAGAATCAAATTGTATGTTCAAAGGCTTGGAAGGCATGATTCCCAATGAGAGTAGCTTTATTGGGCTGTTTCAAGAATGCAACCATTTGGGGATGATAGATGAAACTTGTCACTACTTTGCAAATATGTATGAAATACATCACTACACTTCTAAAGGAGTATAATGCTAGAATAGAAGGTGGAGAGTATATAGTTGCCATTCAAGAATTTTTTTTATTTTTCATTAGGCACAAAAAATGTGGAAATATATATGTTCCTTACAAGCACATGTACTCTATCTTCATCAAACACCTTACACTAGGATTCAAAAGTGGGCATTTATATACACTAGGCAAATCTAGTTACAAAATATTTTGGGAGTTAACTAGATTTGCCAAGACTATTGATGTTAATCCTATCAATAATATAAAAATTTTATTTTATATAATTAATAAAAGACATACTTTTCATTTTAAGACAAACACTGTTGTATTTACAAAAGGAAACAAGAAGAAATAACAAAATTATAAATGACAAAAAAATGCAATGTAGCAAAGCTTAGCCTGCTTTAGTTTTTTATATGTTTTCTAAGCTCTTTTATAACTTATCACATCTTTTGTCTCTTTACCATCTCAAAAAATATTTCATAGTAATTTTTCATAGGCATGATGGTGGCAATAAAATCTAGAGTGTGTAGTAATCTTTAAATTGGCCTATTAGCTGTTATATACACACCTTCTTTGCACTATAGTCAATATATAACTGGAAAGCTAGCGAGATACTTATATATCAAGTTCTCCTATTGGAGGAATGTCAAAGATATTTAAAATATTATTGCATTGCAAAATCTTGTTTAACTTTAATTAGATAAAATCATGAGGGTACTACTTGATAACAATAAGAATGATTGGAAAAATGGGTGTAATTTTGTTTATAAGCCCTTTCTCTCAATATATAGCTTTATAAATTGTTTTTTTAATTATTCTTTTTAATTGCTTATAATCCACCACATTTTTTTTGTAAATTCACACCCTCTTAAACAGAAATTAAGAGTTGTAACTCTTTTGAGAGCCCCACTCTCTTGACACTTTACCCCTTGAGTTGTGCCTAGCCGTTGGTAAATTAAACCTATCAAATGTCAACTTAACATGTGATGTGAAGCCTCTAACCAATCAACAAAGCTAAACTTGAGGCTTCTTTAATACCAAATATAAATTTTTGACTTCCTAAGAAGTCACTTAGACCAATATTACTCAAACCCAAGAATATATGTTCTTTTTGGTTACTTATAATCTATCACGTTTTCTTATATGTTCATACCCTTGTAAATAGAAGCTAAAAGCCACAACTTTCCCGAAAACCCCACTCTCTTGACACTTTACCCCTCTAGTTGGGCCTAGCCGAAGGCAAACTAAACTTCCTAGATGTCAATTTCAATATATGATGTGATTCTTTTAACCAGTCAACAAAGTTGGACCTAAAACCTCTTTGATACCAAATGTAAGCTCTTGAATTTAAATTTCCCGGGAAGTCATCCAACCTAGTATTACTCAAATTTAAAAACACTTAACTATCCCAAGAATTTTAACCAATTGAAAAAAGGGGTATACTTTTATTTATGAGTTCTTCCTTTTTATATTTAAACCTCTATGGATTATTGTAGCGCATCTTATCTCTTTCCCCTTAAGCCAACTGGAAAAGGGGCAATTGCTTATTGGAAAAGGGGCAATTGCTTGATGAGAGAGCCCTTAGTGGCTATTTTATCCCCATTTATCCCCCAAGGTTCTAAGGATCCACGGTGAACGGTGACAGTATATCCAAATCTTATCCCATGATCATATGCGCTACACTCACCCCCCCTTCAGAGATGTTAATGTCCTCATTGACTATTGACTAACAACCCTTTGGCTCAGCCAAGGGGAACCAGCCCCTCCATTTCCGCACTCAATCTACCAATCCTTCCATTGTGTAGATTAGTTATTCCATGTGAGGCAACTAGTCATTCACCCGTACCGCAGTCCCACGGTAGATACTTTCGTTCGTGGATACTCCACACAAGAGGAAGGACGTACGCATGGATGCCCAATACGTATGATTTCAAATTTAGGGGTAGAAATATACTTTGCTTAAGGGTATATTATACTTTTAAATAGCCACTAATCAATGGGAATCAAACTTGTGCCATTTACTCTGATACCAACTGTAGCGCACCTTATCTCTCTCCCCTTAAGCCAACTGGAAAAAGGGCAATTGTTTGATGAGAGAGCCCTTAGTGGCTATTTTATCCCCATTTATCCCCCAAGGTTCCAAGGATCCACGATGATAGTATATCTAAATCTCATCCCATGATCACATGTGCTACAATTATCTTTTAAGTCGTTCTCTTTGGTTGCTTACACAAGTTAAATGTTCTTGAATTTAAGTAATACTAGGCTAAATGACCTCCCAAAAAATTTAAATTCAAAAGCTTATAATGTCCCCTACCATTATTTGCACAAACACTTTAAATGCTACTAGAACTCTACCTTGATAAAATGGCATTACTAGTTTAGGCTTTGAGTGTAATGAAACTCCTATCACAACCTTCCAAGAGTTGAACATTCCCAAAACTAGCATAAATACTATTTTAGTTTGCCCCAACCCCATCTAATAGAAAAACAAAGAAGAAAATTGTCAAGCTTACTAATCCACTTTAGCACAATGTTAGGAAAAGACTTCCAAAATATTTCTTAAGCTGCCTTGTTTTGTACTTTGAACTCTAATTATTAAGTTGCAACATAATATGTGAGAAAGGCAATGTTTAAAACCATTTTAACATAGTGAAAAAGAAAAAATTACCTTTAATATATATATGAACTTCCATAGTCAAAATGTATCCATATATTCATATACATTCATTTGGGAAACAAAATCTACACTATAGGTAAAGCCCATCATCTTGATGAGGAAGGGGCACTCATACTCATTAAAAATTTGGTCTAAAAACAATTTCCTACAGATGAACTTGTTCATATAGGTTAGTATTAGTTCAAGGATGGAATTGATAATATTATTGTAAAATTTAAAATACTATATGTATACTTTTTGAGGCTAATAGCAAGTTGTGCACCTTGTGATAAATCCAGCATGGTCTTTTAAACATGCTTTGGAATTGAAGATGAGTTCTCACAATCTTTAAATCTTACAATATTTTTAAACAATTGATTAAACTCTTTTGTATCTCTTCTTCTAGTGGGTGTGCATGTGGAAACATGTATTATGGCTCTGCCAGCCACTCTGTCCCAAATATAGCACACATGGTTTTGACTTATACTCTATGGTGAATTACTATAAGATAACCCTAATCACTATTAATATATAAATATTTTCATAATTACTTTCTTTATTTATATGTTTAATTTTATTAACGAAAGAAATATTATAATAGAATATATACTGTTTAGAATTTAGTCTCCCAAAGTAACTTTTTCCCTCTTGGATGGTGAAATATTACATAAGAGCTAGAGGTGTTATATTTTTCTTCTTTAGATAATAAAAATGGATCCAAAATAAAAGAAAGATTATATAAATGTTATTGAGGTTTTTAAGTTTTTGTCAAATGGCAAACACACATCTTCTATTTTTATTACATATTTTAATTTTAATACATTTTTATTATTTACATTCATATAAATTATTCTAATTCTTTTTTTTTATAAGGTATAGAAATATTTAAACTATTTTATAATTTTTATATTCTACATATTTGAAGTCATTTGTTATGCTATAGTCAAATCATCATTATAGTAGATAAGAATAACTGGAACATAAAAGTAAGCTGGCAATCCTGAGCCAAGATACTCGTAAATCAGCTTCTCCTTAATTGGAGGAGGGAACTCATCAATGTCAGAAATATCTGGAACACCATTGCATTGCAAAGTCTTGTTTAAATCCAACTGGATAAACTCATGAGCGTCACTCAAGCTCACTGCTCGACAAGAGTAGCTATCTGCATGACTGTTGTAATCTTTGTAGCGATCTAGAATCTGGCCCACAGTTTCTTCGCAAGGAACCTATAAAGTGTTATCTCCTAAGATCTTGGAAAGTGAAAAAGAGTTCTTCCTTTTCCATACCTCTAGAAGGATGTCTTGGTTGATGAGAACGTTCTTCACTCGAATGCACCGAGTTCTTTTGCTTAGTTTGCCAATCATGTACTTGGGATCGTTCCACCACTCAAACTCAAACGATGAATCCCAGTCTGTTCTAGGAGCGCGTGGAGGGACGTGAACAAATCTCCCCTGCCAAGACCAAATTTTGCTCGATCGATAAACTCTTCACGATTTCTTTTAGAACTTCCAATAAACTTTGATGAATTTGTACCTCCGGCGTGTGGAAGAGCTCCTGCTTGGAAACCGGATCAATGTGGCGTTTGACGCTTCCAGTGCTGGGATCAAACCAGTGACTGATATCGCCTCCTCCGGCGTGGATCAAGAGCTTGCCAAGAAACGCTGGATTGCGAGTGACGAGATTGGTGACATCGTAGACCGATCCGAGCAGCGTGATCCAGCAATCGCCAGGAGTGCAGTGCTGCTTGACCTCAGTGGCCGTGTACCAGCCGCTCTTGCGCTTGGGCGTCGTGGGGATCATCGCCATGGCGCTAAAACCCTAGATCCAAAGCGTCAGCCCTAAAAGCGCAAAATTGCGGGAAAAAGTTTAAACTCATCCAACGGCAGCGGAGCAAACTGGAAGAGCCCTAAATCCAACGGCACAGAACAAAATGCCCTAGAGCGGGAAATGCAGATCAATGCGAGCGCGCGGGCGGAGGATCATCCCCTCGATTCGACGCTATCTCTCGACTGAATCTGCGGCGGCGCTGGATCCCGGGCCCGACGATCACGACGACGAGGTCGCGGTATTCACCAAGCTGCTAAAATCGTGCACGGGGCAGAGAGATCTCGTGCGAGGGAGGAGCATCCACGACCAGATCCGGCGCAGCAATCGCAGCAGGAAACGATGCCTCGCGAATTCCATCATGGAGATGTATGGGCGATGCGGCAGCGCGATCGAGGCCAAAGAAGTCTTCGATCAATTGGGGCTGAGGACAAACCGCTGCTCATGGGCGATTCTCATCGCGGCCTACGCCCAGAATCGGCAAATAGAGGAGGCCGAGCTCCTCTACCAGATGTTCCCTCTGAGAGATCGAAGATCATCCACCGCGATGATCTCCGGCTACGCGCGTGCTGGGCAAATCGAAAAGGCGCGCGCGATATTCGATGGATTGACGCAGCGTGATTTTGTGCTGTGGAATGTGATGCTCAAAGGCTATGCCTTTCTCGGCGATCTGGAGGAATCCACGCTGTTCTTCAGCAGAATGGTTTCCAGGGATTGCGCGTCGTGGACGACGATGCTCACGGTCTACGCTAAGCGCGGGCATTTTGATTCCGCGAAGATGCTCTTTGATGCCATGCCCCAGCGTGACGAGATCGCGTGGAACGCGATGATAATGGGATTTGCAGCAAATGGCAGCTTAGACGAGGCTAAGTGCCTGTTTAACTTAATGCCCCTGCTGGAGACGCTGACGTGGACGTCCTTGCTCGCGCCATTTGCCCAAGTCGGGCATCTTGACGAAGCACGTCGGGTGTTTGATTCCATGCCTGAGCGAGATTCCGCTTCTTGGAAGGCAATGCTCGTGGCATGTTCTCTGGGTGGGAATATCCAAGAGTGTAAGCATTTCCTTGACAAGTTTCCAATGTTGGATACAAGTGCTTGTAGCATGATGATTTCAACAGGGAATGTGGAAGATGGTGAGAGCATCTTTTTCTCCATGGAGGAGAAGGATTCCATTGCCTGGAGCGCCATGCTGTGCGGATATGCCCGGGGTGGAGATATTCCCAAAGCCAAGGCTTTGTTTGACAGGATGCCCACCAGGGATGTGTTCTCCTGGACGGGAATCCTCGCAGCATATTCTCAGGGCGGTGATGTGGACGCTGCTGTGGTGGCGTTTGATAGGATGCCCATGACGGACGTAGTGGCATGGAACGCTCTGATCGTTGGATTTGGCGGGAGTGGGAAGATCCTGGAATCAAGGGACCTATTCGAAAAGATTCCCGCCAGGAACCTGCTGACGTGGAACTCACTCCTGCAGGCATATTCTTCGGCTAGTGCGAAATGCCGCAGGGTGTACGACAAGATGCCGCAGCACGACGCCACGTCGCGCGTGCTGGCCGCCACGTCATACTCAGGAACCAGCGTGGAGATCCTCCACCGGAAGCTCGAGATGCTGGAGAATCTGCCCGAGGGACATGTGGCGGCATTGAACACGAAGGTCGCGGCATATGCCAAGGCCGGGCAGCTGCGTGACGCCTGGGAAACGTTCGATTCCATCTGCCCGTGCGGCGTGGTGTCGTACAACGCGATGCTCGCGGCATATACTCTTAACGGCCACCTTTCAGCTGGCCTGAACCTCTTCCACGCCATGAATCTCCAGGGCGTGAGCCCTAACGACGTGACATTTATGGCCATTCTCATTGGATGCCGCCACAAGGGATTGCTGGAAGAGGGCCGGGACTACTTCGTTTCGATGCTTGGAGATTTTAACCTAAATCCTGGGATCGAGCACTACTATGCGATGGTTGATATGCTGGCTCGGGCAAAACAGCTCTGGAGAGCCGAGAGCTTGATAAATTCCATGCCATATTTGCCCGATACGTTTGCCTGGACGAATTTGCTGGGAGCTTGTACCACACTAGGGGATTTGGAGCGAGCAAACAGGACTACTGCAAATGCCGTGAAGTTGGATCCTGGAGTGTCTACTCCTTATGTTCTTCTTTCCAATGTTTATGCCCAAGATAGTTAGTTTTACTCGCAGCAAATTTTGAATAAAAATAAAAATAATATAAGTATTTAAATATTCATTCTTAAGTTTAAGTTAAAACTATTTGAAGTTATTTTAATTTAAATTTGTCATTAGTGGACACTAGAAGTTTCAAGCACAATAGAATGTGGTTGGGCATTTGCACGATGAGAAAATGTTGTGGGGTCAACCATAAGAATATTTTTTTGTGGTAAGTGTGTTGCGTGGCGTCATCTTGTGGTGCTTGATCTAACCTATAATTATTCCTCCTCTTTTTTTATGTGATGTTGTTGCTGCTGGGAATTTTTGTGATGGTTGTGAACTTGTCACTTTTACATGGACACCCAAAGGCCAATTTTAAAGGCCCTAAACAATGTAAAGGTTGTCTAAAGGTCCCGATGCGTCTGCGTGGCGGGGTTTGCGCCGTCGGATCGCAGCGGTGCCGTACGGGTACGCACTTTTGTTAAAGCCTTTGTTCCTGCCGCGAGGCGCAAATCTCCACTGCGCCCTCGATCGATCGCTATTGGGGTTTTGGATCGATGCGTCCTCGGCTGTGAAATTTCGGCGCCGGATCGTCGTGCTGTCCCGCGCGATGTGCACGACAGGGGTTTTGGATCTACATTTTCTTGGAGGAGCAAGATTTTGATCCCTTGCGCGCCGGAGGTAAGCGCCGAGACGATCTCCCGGAGCTAGAGATCGGGAGATTGTCCCTTCTTCCTATTCTTCCTTTCCCCTTGCTCTTCCTGGCGGGGGAGCAGTGTGATTCTCTTCTCGACTATCGCTCCATCTGGAGCTGGAGCCATGAGAAGGAACAAGGCCGGGGCATCCATCACGTTGCATCCGCAGCACCACAAGGATTCTAGGGACAGGGAAATCGCCGCGATTTGGAGGCCGACGAGCCTACGCATGAAGCGAGGCGTGAGCGGCGCCCACAGGGGCCCGACCACTCCGGTTCCCAGCTGGAAGCTCTACGAGAATCCTTTCTACAGCAATGTGATCCAAGCCGGGGCCAGTGTCTCCGCCAGGAAGCTCGCGGCCAGCTTGTGGGAGCTCCAGGAGATCCCATTGCCCAGATCGCCGGCGGCATCGCCAGACTCCGCCGCCACAAGCAGCCCACCAGCGGCGCCGCCCAGAAGCTCTGCGGAATCTCCAAAGTCGAGTCTCTCGCTGCCACCACCTCCGGCAAAGAGGAAATCCTCTCCAGCGATTTCGTCCACGGCTAGCGCTCTGGAGGAAGCTGCCAAGGTAGAGATCGAATTTTTCCCAGCTTGATGACTCTCCGTTTTCACTCGTAGGTGTGTTTGATCCTGTTTTTTGTGCTGATTTTTCTGGATCAGGTTTGGTGACACATTGCTCGTTGCGCAGTCTACAGATGGAAATGGAAAAATTGCGCACACGAACAGGCAGCTGGCCGCAATGCAGTCTCACATCAACAGATGCTTGGACAAGCAAGCGACTGCGGTTAAGAGTTCCATCGCCAAAAGCAACAGCAACAATGCGGTATGTTCCATGGCTCTTTTTTTCCCTTTTTCCCTGCAGTACTGTTCTTTCCTGCTTGCCACCTTTGGTTTTATCGATGGCTCTTTTTCTTTTTCGTCAGGGGCGGTTTTGTTGTTTGACTTGGATGTGTTCTAGCTAGGCAGTGTATTAACTTCGTGAGCGTTTTTTTAGAGCGACTCGGCGTCACAAGCATCTCCAGAGACGAAAATTGTTGCCAGCCCCGACGGTTTTTCAGCATCCCCCGAGCTTCTTGAGCGGTTACACGCCTTGGAAGATCAGCACAGCGGTGCGGCTCTGGCCAGTGTGTTAAGGACGGAACTTGATGTCGCACGTAGCAAAGTCAAGGAGCTAGAGGGAGCGAACAAATTGGCTCGCAAGGAGATCGAGGCTTTGCTCAAGAAGATAGCGGACGACAAAGCGGGCTCTTTTGGGAAGGAGCAGGACAGGGTGAAGCAGGCTTTGCTGTCTGTCAGGGACGAGGCCGATGAAGAGCGCAAGTCGAAACGCAGGATGGAGCTGGCTAACAAGAAGCTGTCGAGAGAGCTCGGCGAAGCAAAGATGGCGCTCTCGAAGGTACTCCAGGAGCTCGAGAAGGAACGCAAAGCAAGGGAGCTTATGGAGGATGTGTGCGACGAGCTGGCTCGAGAGATAGGCGAAGACAAGGCAGAAGTTGAAGAGCTCAAGCGCGAGTCGCTGAGAATAAGGCAGGAAGTGGAAGAAGAGCGCCGAATGCTACACATGGCCGAGGCGTGGCGCGAGGAGCGCGTCCATATGAAGCTGGCCGAGGCGAGAGACGAGATCCAGGAGAAGCTGGACTTGGTGGAGAAGATCAAAGGCAAGCTGGAGGAGTTTCTGAGAGTGAGGAGGAGAGTCCTGGACGACGGCGACTACGCAAGCCAGCAAGCGGATATCAGGGACGGGGAGATGCTGCGCGCTTCGGTCGACAGCTTGCTCTCGCAGGAGCGCGAGAGCCTCAAGCAGCAGTCCGAGACGAGGAGGAGCGAGGAGGTGGAGTCACTGGACGACGATCTCCACTCGATAGACCTCACCAAAGACGCAGCCTCGGCCAAGGAGCGAAGGCTGGCCGAGTGGCACAGGCTCAAGACTGACAGGAGAATCTACTGCTCCCCGGAGAGCCGCGGTGAGATTGGCGACGATGGTGGCAGCGGCAGTAGCAGAAGCACCAGCGGCAGCGGCAGCAGCAGCATCAGCACCGACGGCGAGAGTGGAAGAAGCAGCTTTTCCCGAGCAAAGAAAGGACCGCCGGCAAAGGTGATAGCCATCGCTCCTCCCGCAAACGGCGGGTCTGGGAGCCTGGGGAGCCTCACCACCAAGTCGATCGGGAGCAACTTGGGCAGCAGCTTCGATAACAACACCGGCACCACCGCGAGCTCGGAGTTCGATCTCCCGCTCCGGACGCTTGGGCGATCGATTGATAAGCCCGCCAGCAACAGGATGAGTAACAGCAACAACAGCAACTCGTCGCCGGCGTCGGTGGTGGCCAACGGCAAGAGCCGCAAGCTCAAGAGCCTGGTGGAGTGGACGACCAAGGGTGGCGGTGGTCAGCCGGCAAATGGTGGTGGTGGCGTCAAGCACTTCTCCAAAGCTTGATATTATTCTTCTTACAGGAATATACAGTGTGCGAGAAAGTACGGAAAGAAAGTGTAAGAATTTTTGTATCGCCAAGCCCTAAAAGTATATACGATTTTATCAGAATATTCTGTGTTAACGGTATTAAAACTCTAAACCCTAAAATATCGTACACATTTTTCAAATGTGTACGGTATTAAAGTGGTGTTTTTAGGGTTCTTAGGTTAGGGCAAAGGGGAGGATCGAGGATGAGCAGGGTGCAGGTAGAGCGGGCCGCGGCGGCGGCGGCGCGCAACGTGAACGCCTACGGGCAGAAGGAGGAGGGGCCGAGCCGATGGCAGGAGCGCAAGGAGGCCAAGCGCCAGATGTATCTCATGAGCACGGAGCGGCCGGTGACGGTAGACGTTCTGCGCAACAAGGAGAGCGGCGGCGGCGGCAGCAAGCAGCTGACGGGCCACTGCCAGAAGTGCTTCCAGCGCCACTGGACGTACGAGTGTAAGAACGAGCGCATCTACATGAGCCGTCCCTCGCGCTCCCAGCAGCTCAAAAACCCCAAGCTCAAGCCCAAGCTCATGGACGCCAGCGAGGTGGTGGAGTTTTTGGGCGAGAAGGAGCGGAAGGAGCAGGACAAGGTGGCCAAGCGCGAGCGGCGGCGGGAGAAGGAGCGGGAGATGGAGCGGCGGCGGCGGCGCAAGAAGAAGAAGATGGCACGTCGCAGCAAGCGCTACGAGTCGTCGGAGTCGGGGGAGAGCGATAGCGATGGCGGCTCTTCCTCTTCCTCGCCCTCTTCGTCTTCCTCCTCGTCTGAGGATGAGAGGAAGCGTCGCCGAGCAAGGAGGAAGAGGAGATCGCCGCCTCCATCTCCATCGTCGAGCTCTGGCGATGGCTCTTCCTCGCCTTCCTCGTCTTCGTCGTCCGAGGATGAGAAGCCGAGGAGTAGGAAGCGGCGGAGGAATGCCACCACGTCCGAGTCCGAGAGCTCGGATGAGGACTCGCGTGGCCGGAAGCGCAGCCGCAGCCGCAGCCCGGAGGATGATCGCGCGGCCGAGAAGAAGGCCGAGAAGAAGCGGAAGTGACTTGACAACGAGAAGGAAAGCTGCTCCTTGATTTTCTTTGTTGCCTGGTTTGCATGGGGACTAGATGGTGGTGATCACGGCGGCTCCACTGGATGGCTTGGACGCGAAGACGTAGAGCCCCAGGGATTCGGGCTTGACGATGCCTTTCTGGATTCGGGAGTTGTAGAAGCCTTCCTGTAATTGCATGAAAAAATGAAATAAATTGTGTGAGCTCTTAACTTTAAAGTGTGATCTCTATCCACTTGCCTTGAGCGAAAGAATGAAAGCTGGAACCGATGCTTCGTGTACCAGGGCCACCACGCAGCCACCCCATCCGGCTCCAGTCAGCCTGGCTCCCAGCGCTCCAGCCGATCGACACACTTGAACGAGTTCCTCAAGCTCTGGGCAACTGGAATTCACAGAGAAGAGTTAAAAATTCTTCTTTTTGGGACATGTGATGAATGTAAACCTGCACTCGTAGAGTTTGCTGCAGCTAGTGTGGCTGTCGTTCATGAGCTTTCCAAGCCGTTTCAATGCTTCTTCTTCACTGCCAAAAAAAAAAACAAAAAAAAAGAAGAAGATAAGCTACACTCACATAGATAACTCAACAAGGACAGTACCCTGCGCCAGATGAAACAGTGTCACGGAAAGCGTACACGCGTTTTGCTTCCGAGTATACGTGCGTTGCTCTCTACACACAACCCCAGAAAGGCGTCCGTGATTGGATAAGAAAGAATAATTTTGAGTACCTGGTGAAGCTTGAACTGTTTAGCAACCGAAAGTACAGCTTGGAAGCTCGAACCCTTCGGGAAAATTGAAGTTAGGGGGTGTTTTAATAGCTCCTCTAGCTCCTCTGTCGTGTATGGATGCTCATGCAACAAGTCCTGATTTATACGAACGTAAGGTACAAAAATCTAAAACGCTTTTTTACCTCAATCGCAAGCAACAAGTCGGACGAGTCGCGAGAAGTTGCATACGCCTCGCACAAGCCTTCTACATCAGACAGTGTGGACACGGATTTAATCGCCTCGTCTGCTGCCATCCCTAGCTTCACAGCGAGTACAATCTGCAAAAAGGCGTTGGACAATAAAAAAACCGTGAGAGGAAAACTTTTAACTTACCGCAGCCAAACGGCACTCAACAACTCGATTGTTGTAATTAGTTGCCGCGGTTACAGCCTTGTTAGATTCTGTAAGCGAGTTCGCAACTACGAAGGTACCACCAGCTGGTAGTACAACGCTTGTGGCTTTGATAGGATTAAAATCGATCAGCATTGCAACGCCTTGTTGTGCCATGATCGAAATGGCCTGCAGAGAAAAAAAACCTTCGTGAAAAAATCTGTACAAACGCGCTACTAAATCTACCTGGTCCATGCCACCAGATTGCGTACCAACATGCCGCTCGCAGGTACAAGCAAATTCTGAGACTTCCTTCTGAAAAACCAAGGACAAACAGTTAGCGTACAGCAGTAACACTTTTCCGGACTAGCAATCTCAGGCATTTTCAAACCTTGAAAGCACATAATTCGAATAAGGCCAGGAATGCAAGCACTGATGCACACACCAACGCAGACGAGCTGGAAAGGCCTGATCCTGAGCGCAAGCAAGCAAACACGGTAAAAGAAAGATTGTGGCAACCTTGGTAAACGAAAGATCAAGTGCTGCCATGATAGAAAGTGCAGAGGAGCAAACTAATGCTGCCGAGCTCGATAATCCGGATCCTGTAATAGATGGACTTTGTATCTCTGTGCTACATACTTGAACTGAAAATGGGAGAATTCTTTACCCATGGGAACAGTTCCATCGACCAAGATATTAAGGCCCGTGTCTGGTTTACGATGTATCTTTTTTGATTCCAAGTGCTCGAAAACACCTTTGTACCTGTAAGGTAAAGGAAAATTGAAGAAAAGCTAGAAAGGCTCTTAAAACAAAAAGTTACATACCCACAAAGAACGTAATTCCCCCATGTATGATTCAATCGATCCACTTCCTGGGACAGTGACAATGAAACCAAGAACCTTTCTATACCAAAAAAGAAGTCCAACAAACCTGAGATGGATCAACCGAAAAGGAGCACGGCTTAAATTTCTCGTTATCGATACTCGCAACGCGCAGAGCCGGCGAGCCATCGCTTTCCGAGGATCTCCCAATCGCGACAATTGTGTCCTGGCGAATTGCCATTGGCAGCACCGAGTAGCCTTCGTAATCGATGTGCTCGCCGATAAGATTCACTCGACCTGCATTCCCGGGAGCCGCCAATCGCCAATCCAATCCACAAATCGAGCGAAATATCAAGAAAACCTGGCGCTCGCGCGTAGAAATCCGGATCGCTGCCATAGATCTCTGCAAACCTCGCCCGGAGCCGCGCGTAGCGAAATCTCGCCTCGTCCAGCAGCGATCCATGCCCGTAGACGCTCTCCAAGCTCACTCTCACGGGCACGCGCTCGTCCTCCGCGATGACGCATTGCTGCTCCATAGCTTACTAGCGAACAAGCAAGCCCTTTTTTTGTCACGGGGGTTTCAAATTATATGGCGGAAAATACCAAGAGAATATTCCGTCATCCCATTAGATTATCTCTAATCCTTCATTGAACTCGATCAAAATTAATACAGCACCCCCATTATTATAAACCAATCTTATCTTCATTTCTTCGTCGTGCGAGCAGCGCTCATATGATCCTGGAAAGAAAGAAAATCAATCACGAAGAAAAAAGAGAGATTTTCTTTTTTCTTACCGAGATGAAGTCGAAAGCTTTGGTTGTCTCCTCCATTCTGGGAAGACTTGCGGAAGCTGACGAATATGGATGGCTCGAAAAATCGAACGCGTCGCTCGCAAAGCTCGCTCCCTGAGAGCCAAATCCCATCCCAAATCCGCCCGAGAAATCCTGTTGCTGCTGGAAGCTATGCTGCTGCGCTGGTGGTGCTTGTCCGAAACCATAGAGTGGTGGTGCTGTTCCTGGATAATGAGCTTGAGCTTGAGGAGCAAAGCGTCTCGCAGCGTCGAACTTTGCCATGATGAACTCGGCACCCCCGGGAATGCTCGGTGAGACGAAACTTGGTGGAGCTCTACTCAATCCCTGCTGCTGCTGCTGCTGCTGTGGCTGCGGCTCTAATCCCATAAGCCCGGAGAAATCCTGACCAAATCCTGGATCTAAGTTGGATTGTTGCTGAAAAGATGGAGTGCCTGTGTCCAGAGATCCCAGTAGATCACTTATGTTCGTGGCTGATGCTGGCTTTTTTGACGGCTCTTCGGCAATGCTGAGGCCCTCGAAGAGGCTGCTTGTTCCGTTAGTTTCGGTGTTCTCGTGTAAGCCGTCGCCTAGCAAGTCGCCCTGGACTGGTGAGGCTTCTGTTAACGAGCTCAGGATATCCACTTCGTCTTTCTGATGAGTGCTGGAATCATCGTCGTTTGTGTCGATCAAATCTGGCATTTCAACTCGCTCCGTGCGTTTTGGTTGGCGACTTCTTGCGTCGTTTGATACCTGAGAGCCCTCCTCGGTTTCAGTTTGAAGCAAGCCAAGAACCTGGAGATACATCGTTAGTCTCGCAAAAGAAGTTAACAAAAGCATACCTTGTTTGCTTTTTCGCGTAGAGAGCTTTGTGGCGAATCCATACAGTCGATGACGCTGGCATGGTTTGCCTCAAAACGTTGTGAGACATCTCCAAATGGTTTCACTGCTCTCTGACGTAGCACAGCCTCAAGAAAACACAAAGTTTTCAAGCGAACCTATCTTGAAACAATTGAATCAGAACAAGAAGGAAAAGTTTACACCAACTTCACCACTTACCTGCCAGGAGTGAACTTGTAGCTTTTGCTCAAAGGCTTGATGCAGCCTCTGAGGATTCAGCACCTGCGCTGCCAAAAGAAAGGACTGTATCGCTTCGCGGCTTGGTTGAAGGCGCACACCACCGACACCCGTCACAGTGTCCAGGAGTTTCTCTTCTTGTGTTAAACCGTTGGCGTCTTCAGTCTTCTCGTCCGCTGCCGACTTTGGAGAATCCGGCTGCTCGTATGACATCTCCTCAGAAGCTCCTCCTCTGTAAGTCTCCCTGTAAGTATCCCGACTCTCGCTATAAGAATAAGAATCCCGATGGTTATCCCGGTACTTAAAGTTGTCTCGCTCCGATACCGATCTACGTAAGTTTGGAGCCTCGTAGCTTCCGGAAGAGCTCTTGCTCTTCGTGCCGTTGCTGCTGCCAAAGTGACCATAGTGGCTGCTTATCATCGTCAAACCTTGCTTGATAGACGCGGTGCCTATGTCGACCACCTCGCTTAAAAGCGTTTTCTTCTCCTGCGAAGCTCTAGAATCGAAGTTCGTGTTCCCAAAACCCTCAATCCTTCTGCCGGTTTCCTCCAAAGCCGGTGGTTTCTCGTCGGACGCAAACATGGCAGTGATGGCCTCGCGAGCAGTCTCACGAACCGCCTTGTTGAGACTGTCACCTCGGAGCGAATCGGGCTGACCTTGATAATGGAACAGCTGCCGTATCGCTGCAGACTGCCTCTGGATTTCTCTCTTAAACTCGATTCCAGATTTTCCAACTTCGAATTTGATGAATCTCAGTGTCTGCAAGAAACGAATAGACAATGAGAAGAACTGGAGAGAACAAAGAAAACAACCAAAGCATACCTTTTGCTTCACTAGCGGGCTTTTGTGCTCCAATCTCTTGAAGACATACTCCACCATTTCGTGGACAACGTCGTGAGGCGCCGAGCGAAGAACTGAGCTGATCTCGTCCAATTTATACACTGGAGCGACCTTATCATCGTCGGTGGTCACTCCATCGATTAACCTAGTCCGCCTGTATGCTTCGACTGCCCGCCGACTGGATTCCATAGCTCGGATCGAAAACTTCCTGCGCTGCTAGTTCCCCGGATCCGGAGGATCTCCAATCCAATTCGAGACCGGGTAGCTCTCACGAATCCCTACCTGGCGCGGCGATCGCGACAATGTGAATTGGAAGACGCACCTCGGGCGCCATTCCTTCGCCAAGAACCCATCCCTAAACTCATCGGAGCCGCCATAGCCAAATATTTCACGTGGGATACAAAAGAGGGAACCATGTCATAGTCCAGACCAAACACGTGTCTGCCACGTTAGCACGCATCATCTATATATATAAAAACGAAGGGCCCGTACCCCCACAGCTGTCCGACCGTGGTTCTTGCCATGGTTTGCAGGAATATCAGCTCAATATTGTGGTGGCAGCATGCTAGGAAGGGAAGAAGGTGTGGTGACAATTGTTATA